AATCGCTTTCAACATAAAGAGAGAGAAAGAGAGAAAAAAACAGTCTCGCGTATATAAATACGGATTTGTGTATACACGTGTGCACGTGTTTTATTGTATTCAAAAACTAAATTTACTCCATAATGCTAATTCGATCATTTATTTTTAATATTCTTTTGTTTACGTATTAAAATTTTGTTTTTAGTTTTTATTTTTCTTCTCCTGTAGAAAATATTTTTTGTAATGAACTAAATTTTTAGTTATGGGAATAAAAAAAAATAAAATAAATAAAAAGAAATTTAAAAAAAGTAAAAAAAAAGTAAAATAATAATAAATTGTAGAAAATAATGAGAAATAGTAGAAAATGATAAAAAAAGTAGAAAATAATATAAAGCAATATAAAATAATATAAAATAGTAGAAAATAATAAAAAATTGTAGAAAATTGTAGAAAATAATACGAAATAATAAAAGTGTTTCCGTAGCCGAGTGACATAAGGCACAGTTTTTGTAGTCTCGAAGGGTGTTCGAGTCCTCTCGAAGGCAAATTTTTTTCTCGTAGTGAAAGTTTTTCGATTCTTAAACGAGTTCAAAAAATTAAATACAAAATAATAGAAAATAGTAAAAAATAGTAGAAAATAATAGAAAATAATAAAAAATAATGCAAAATAGTAGAAAATAATACAAAATAGTAGAAAATAATACAAAATAGTAAAAAATAGCAAAATGGTAAAAAAATAATAAAATAAAACATAATAAAAAATAGTATAAAATAATAAAATATATTAAAAAATTTTAAATATAAAATTAAGAATAGTAAATTTAAGAAAAAATATTTACAAATTAACCTTTTATGAATTGAATTTTAAATCATAAAATTTTTTCCCACAATAAAAAACAATATAAAGGGCAAAATTAACTAAATTTAAATAAACCATTAAAATTTTTTGACAAAAAAATCCGGAAATTTTCACCCAAGTAGATTAATAATTTTATTACCTCAATTTAATAATGACAGGACAAAATTCCAAACTGAATAAATTACATTTTGAAAATAAAAAAATAGAATTAAGAAGTGCGAATAAATTATTTCCTTCTCTTTTATGTAATATATTATACATCTGATTGATGTCCATTATTGTTTATGTTGACCAATAAAATTTATACTGCAACGAATAGGATGCAAATAAAAATAAAAAAAATTTTACTCACTTTTTTTTCTCCCGCCAAATATGTCACATGCAGAAGAATATTTTTTTTCCTTCAAATCTGCAAAAAAAAAACAATAAGAAAAAATTAGCCAAAGTGAAGATTTCTTCTGAAGTCTATACGTTAATAAAGAGTAAAATAAAAAAGTTCAAGTTTTGAGCTAAAAATAGTTTATAAATGAAGAGGAGAAAAAAATACGAAACAGGATGAATTAAATATGCATATATATCTAATTTAATTGTTAGTATAATAATTTTTTTTTCTATTTTCATTTAGAAAAGTATTTCAGAAAAGTATTTTTAAAAAATTATTTTGAGAAAGTACTTTAGAAAAGGATAAAAAAATTTTTTTGGAAAATATTTGAGAAAAATAAAAGTTGTAAATTTGCAAAAATAAATGTATTATTTCCTAGAAAAACGTAAATGATAATTGAGCATAAATGTTGTGACTGAAAAACAAAGTGGGTTAAAATGATTCATAAAATTTGTCCCAGATTTGAAAATGCATTTTATTGAAATGCATTACAGTTTCACTCAGTTATTTAAAGTGTGTTAATAACTTGAGAATTTGAAATAGTTCGATTTGAAATATTCCAGTAAAATTTTAAGAATAACATATAATAGCAATAATATTATGTCAAAAATTATACTTGTTAATTGTTTTGAAACTGTTTCAAAGACGCAAGTGTCATTAACATCAGAGATCTATAACTTGTTTTTTTTTTTTTTTTTTTAAAGCTAACATTAATGTCTATACTGAATTAATAAATCCTCATGGTCAGAGGAAGGTGACAGGTCTTAAATTTTTTCTTCTCAATTGTAATAACAATGAAATTAACTTCTTTTTTTAAAAAAATAATAATAATAGGAATAATTTTATGTCAAAGCCTATCAGTTTTCTAGTAAAAAGCAAATAGTATTAGAGATGAAAACTAATGAATATTCGTGCTTTTCAATAGGAATTATTTTAATAACAAATTAAATCAATTGTGTAGTATAATTTAAAGAGAATATATTTTTTCTAATACTTTTGAAAATAAAATTAATTAAAATCTTTGCCAAATATAAATTAATAAATAATTAAAACCAAACAAATTTTTAAAACTTAAAAATTACTATTTTTCTTTTTTGAAAATTCATTTTTTTGAAATTCCTAATTTTTCTTTTTTGAAAATTACTATTTTCTCTTTTAAAAAATTCCTATGTTTTCTATTCCATAATCTCCGAATTTTATAATAAATAAAATTACTTAAAACTAAACAAATGAAAATTCCTAATTTTTCCTCTTCTACCATTCATAACTTTTCTGCCTTAAAAATTTCTATTTATTGAAAATTCCAATTTTCTCTTTTGTAAAAATTCCTAATTCTTCTTTCTTGAAAATTACTATTTCCTCTTTTTAAAAATTCCTAAATTTCCTTTTCCATAATCTCCGAATTTTATAAATAAAATTAATTAAAACTAAACTTGAAAATTCCTAATTTTTCTTTAAAAAAAAAAAATCTAATTTTTCTCTTCTGAAAATTAATTTTCAACAGTTGGACAATTTTAGTCGGCAGTGTTTGAAACTTGAGGTATGCATTCAAAATGCTTATTATTATAACTGCTACAAGTCAATAAAACATTGAAAAATTATAAGCTGTTAACTAATATTTAAAATTGCAAGATGAAAACTGGTTTCTTTAGGTCACCACACTGCCAGAATGTTTTGAAAAAATTTCTGTATTGAAAAAACTTTCGGTGTAATAATAATAATCAAAAATTTATGTATCAATGATGAATAAAATGATTTTCTTCTCTCATTTTTTCTAATTTTTAAACTACAATACATTCCAGTAGAATTTTAATTTTACAGACAATTATTATCATTATTATTTGAAATTTATTTTTTTATAATACCTAATTATAATTTTTATTATTATTAAATTTTTAGTTAATTAATTAAATTATTATTAAATTATTATTAAATTATAATTTAATTAATTTTATTAACTTTATAGACTGTTTATTGCTGTAAAGAATAAATAAATAGTAATTTTAAATAATTCATTACACTTATTCAATTTATTAAACATTTTTACTTATTCAAATTTAAATTAATCTATTATTGTTATTGAGAATTCTTTTAATAGTGAACGAATTCTAATTAATTATTTGAAAAATTAATTTTTCAACAAATTAATTTCAATAAATTTATTATTTAAATTAATTAATGATTAATTAATTTAAAATAAGAATAAAAGAACCTCTGAAAGTCAATATTTAAAAAATATTCTCGCCCTTATTTTAATTAATTTTAAGCAATAAGATAAAATAATAAATGATCCGATTATAAAAATACCCACTTCTTCTAAAGTCAATTAAAATAATTTTTTTCTATTTAAACTTTCGATTTTAGGAAAATGCGCAGGAAATTGAATTTTTATTTGTAGAACACTAATTTGTAATTTATTGTTTCCAAAAAAATCATGAATAATACAAAATATCTAACTTGCGCAAATGTGCGTTTCAAATATATATTTATATACACGGATTTGTAAATAATTTTGTTATATAATTTTCTTTAACAATTAAAAAAAAATAATTATGCAATTAAACACATATTTTCACTTAAGTATCACACACACACACACACACCAGAAAGAAAAAGGCATATTTGGTCGGAATATATAGCATAAATTTTGAATTGTTACCACATTTATTTCCTCTAGTTGACATAAATATTTTATGGTTGGCGCAACCATAGAATTTTCATCTGAATTAGAAATAAAAATTATTATAATGTGGTAACCATATCAAAACATGAATGGGACTAAATATTTTTATCTGATTATTAAATTACAATATTATAATTTTTTAAATAAAAAGTAGGAAATTATTTACCAAATTATTATTATTAATTTATTAACTATTGTTATTAAAATTTATTATTAAGTATTAATAATATTTTTTAAAATTATTTTTATATCTTTTATATTTATTTTTGTATTTATTTTTCTATTTATTTGCTATTTTTATTTCTTCTTGTATTTATTTGCTATTTTTATTCATTTTAGTATTTATATTTGCTATTTTTCTTTATTTTTTTATTTATTTCTTTATTTATCTTTCGAAAAAAATTAGAATAATTGAATTTTTTAATAATTTAAATCTAAAATTATAATTATTACATTAATTTCGTAATTTCGCGACAAAATTTTTTTTTTTATAAAATAAAAAACATAAAAATAAAGAAACTAAACTAGAATAAAATAAAACTAAAATAAAAATTAACAATAAATTTATTAGTGAAATAAAAATTATAAAAATAAAGAAAACTAAAAGAATAAAATAAATAAAAATTAAGAAGTAACTATTCAGAGAATTAACTACAATCAATAATAAAAATAAATTTTTTCCCCCCCAAAAAAAATCCTTCGAGTTTAGAAAAATAAAAATTTGCATGTAAAATTAATAATATTCATAAGATTGTTGGATTTTACAATTGATCATTAGTTCGTCATCGTATTTAGAAAAAAAAAACATTTTTTCATTGTTTATTTATGTCTGCTGGTAATCTTGGGGATTTTTTATCCGGTTAACAAGAAATTACAATATTAGGCATTAGTCGAAATTTTTCTCTCATCTTCAAGATTTAAAATTCAATAAAATTTGATTAAAAAAAAAACCTTATCACTGCTGTTTATGAATGAAAAATAAAAGGGGTGAATCAGTGTGGTCTGAATTAAAATCAAATTGATTTTCTTTAAAACTGGAGAGCAACGGAGAAACAGGTAACACATGACTAAGACGATATATAAGATTGCAACGGACTCGTCAACAGTTCAGTTCTTGAAACGAGGTGCATAGGAAACAACTCTCACCTTTGCTTCACAAAATTTGTTGTTTTTTTTTGTTGACATTTATTTTTGTTTAGAAAAATTTTTATAAAAAAGTTTTATTCATTTTATTTTTTACTATAATTATTTTTGTATTCTCATCAGTTTCTCGTGATTGTGAAAAAATTTCTTCTATCCCAATAGGGATTTTTTTAACCAATGTAAGTAATTATTTTTAAATAAATTTTTTTTTGCTTATTTTGTGGTTTTTTGAAAATTTATTGGTTTTTTTTATTATCAAAAAAGTATTTTTTTCATTTAAATCTTTTTTTTTTATATTCACTCATATTTGACAATTTTTTTTTTCAGTTTTCTGAAGTAAATATTAAATTTTAAAGTACTTGATAATTAAGAAGTAATCTTTAAATAGTTTTCAATTATTATTGTTACCGAAGATAAAAATTTTTTGGAATAATTAATAATTAATTAATGTTAATATTTAATAATATTTAATATTCAATTAAATTTAATTAAATATTTAATCAGTATTTAATAATAAATTTTAATTTTTAATATTTACAAATCTCTTTTAAATTCTTCTTTCAAAAAATATTTTCAAAAAATCATTTTCTTTTTTTTACAATTTAAAAATCCAAACTTTCTGTATTCAATTGTTTTCTTAATTATATTGTAAGCATTAATTTATTAATTTAACGGATGCCTCATTTAATGAGTAAATCTCTATTTCAGATTAAAATTTTTTATTTGAAAAATAAGAGCCTATAATAATATTCAGTTTTTTTTTATACCATTAGCAATAGAAAATAATAAATCGAAGTATCTTTTATTTAACTAATTGTTATTTCACTAAATTATAAATTCAATTTAAATTTAAATAAAATAAAAATTTTAAAAGTCACAAAATATTTTAGTGAAAATTGCTATAAATTAGAAAAATAAAAATTATACTCTTTAGTTTGCGTGCAATAGTGGAAAAAAATAATTACATTAAGAAAATTACGATAGTTTTATGTTAATAAAAATTACATAAAGAAAAACTGTAATAAATTTTTTTTTCTTTCTATAAAATTGTACAGTTGATTAAATTGTAATAGTAAATTTTTTTCATGATCAAAATTAGTCATAAAAATAAATTGACAATTTTCGATGTTAATTTTAGTAAAAGAATAAATAAGTTCCCCCTTTTGAATAAAAAAATAGCTGCGAATTTTCCTAAAAAGAAAACAAAACAATACAGAAAAAAAATTCAAACTATCAACGTTTTCAATGAAAATGCCTATACTGATAAAAACAAATTGTACGTTTCACAAAGGTCATAATGCGGAAGTTAATTAAAATATAGAGTTTCTTACACCAAAGCAACCATAAAAGTAATTGTAAATAAATTAATTAATTTTTAACTTGAAAATATAATTTAAATAGTTTTTCATTATTTTTTTCCTTATTTGATATTTTTCACTCCTTCATATCAATAAAATATAAAATACCAACAAAATACGATAATAAATATAAAATACGACAATAAATATAAAAATTATGCCTATAGTTATTTTTTTAAAAATTAACTATTAATTTTTATAATATAAAAAAAAAAATTTCTTATAATAAAATTTTTTTTCTACTAAAACATAATAAAACATTGTAAGTTTTTACAATTTTTAACAATTATTAAATGAAACAAAAAAAATATTATTAACTTTAGTCAAGTAAACCAATCGGTTTACATTTTACAAGACTGCTGATAACGTTAAATTAAAACTTGATTATGAAATATGGAATATTTTACGAAACTTTGTTATTTAATAATTATTATTGAATAATTTTTCAAAAAAGCAGGCGAATACAATATTTTATTACTTAACATTGCTTTATTGATTGTATTTTTGACATCATAAGTTCTCATTGTTATTAATGTTATTAATTATTATTAACATAATTAATTATTATTATTCACAATTAAAATTTTTAACTAATTATAACTATTTTGTTTCTTATTATTCTTAATACTAGTTATTATTATTCATTAACTCGATAAATAAATTATTTATTATTATTATTTCATTAATAAAAAAAACACAAAAAGGATAATAACATAAAAAAATTTTCTGCTTTCTAATTTTGGATCTCATTTGAATTATTTCTAAATTTTGCTAATAACGCCATTTATATTCAACCTCCTCAATGTCGATTCTATTTTTAATAATAATAATTGGTATGCTCTAATTTTTTTTTAATAATTACAATACTCATCACACTGAGATTTATTTTTTTCTACTTTTTTTATTTATCATTATTATTTTTTCGAAAGAATATTTTTCACCTATTTCAATATTATTTCTCAGTGTCAAATTATTATCAATAATAGTTTTTCTTTTTTTTTTCCTTTACATTTAAAAATAATTTGTCTTTAAGAAATAGTAAACAAATCTTCCTATGATACGAGGAAATAAATTTAATTTTTCAATTCTCGTATTTGTTAGTTTTAAAAAAAAAAATTTTTTTTTAATAGACAAACAAATAATTTCATTTATATTTTAATGCATTCGAGTATATATAATTAAATTTAATAACGAAGTTTTAAAAAAAAAACCGCACATTAAAGAAAAACTTGTTTTTTTTCACGAAGCCACAAAGTTTATCGAGAAACAATTAAACAAAATATATTACTGCAAAATTTCTTTCATCATTTAAATGACCTAAATTCCTTTTAAAAAATTCTTTTGAATTTAATTAAATCGTCTTTTTCCTCAAATTTGATTAATATATTATTTTTTCACTAAATATACTTTTATTTTTTATTTTATTTTATTCAAGTTGCACGTGCGCTACGTTTGAAAGTTGTTGACAATTTTAGCAAATTAATACACAAACATTATTTACACGTGAAAAATAATAAGAATATTTAGTTTAAAAACTTTTTTTTTATTTAATTTAAAAATTTGTAAGCTTTCAATATAATAATTATAATAAAAAAAATAGCAATAATATTTATTCTAACAAAATTAAAACCAATTTTTTTAGTTATTTGAAAAATAAAATTAATTTTTTAGTTAATTAAAAAATAAAACTAATTTTTTTAGTTAATAATGAAAAATTAAAACTAATTTTTGTTGTTATCAATAAAAACTAAAACTAATTTTTTTAATTATGAATTAAAAATTAAAACTAATTTTTGTTGTTATCAATAAAAACTAAAACTAATTTTTTCAATTATGAATTAAAAAATAATACTTTTTAATTATTTTTTTAGTTATTAGTTAAAAGAAATAAATAAATTTTTTGTTTTTGCTTTTGAGTGTAAGTCAAAGAAGATTGTTTACAAAATAAAAAGCGGTTCATCGACTAGACATTGCGGAGCGGTGACTTATTTTGGTGTAAATATACTATATACATTTATAGAACTTTGCACAATATAAAAAGTGACTTGACAATGCGAATTTTATTTCCAGTGTATAAATTTATAAGCACCAATGGACCTGACATGACAACAAATTACATCTAAAAACCTCTCCTCGAATAGAACACGAACGCGTTTCGATTGCATTATTATTTGTCGTTGAACTCCTTGTTTGGCCATTCATTGTTACCATATGACTCCAATTTCTAAATTAATAGATTAATTAATAAATTAATTTAAAAAAAATTAATTAAAATTTAATAAATTTTGGAAAAAGTTTCCATTAATTAAAACTTAATTAATAAATTAATAAATAATTAATAAATTAAATTAATAAATAATTAATAAATAAATTCTAAATTAATTAATTTAATTAATGGAAATCACATGAAAAGCCATTAATTACGAAAATTCACAATATTAAAACATAAAAATTACTGTTACTTTTTTTTTATTTTCTTTTATTATTATTAATTAAATTTTTACACAAATTAAAAGCAATTTTCAATTTTCAACTAATAAATGAAATAAAATTTGTTATTACTAATTATTCATTAAAAACTCGTTGTCAATTTAAATAAAATTACTACTATTAATTAAAAAAAATTTTTTTCAAAAATTATTATCGCTGATTCATTTGGAAAAAAAAGTCGAAAAATCGGTCAAAGTTGATATATCACCTTGCGAATCCCGATATTGGATCGTGCACTTGGATTAGATTTTTCCTCGAGAAATAAACGAGTTTTATTAGTTAGCAATCTTTGGTGAGACAGCTTTTCCTTTCGATTTTTTTTTCTTTTTTTTTTTTTCTTGTAAACATTGTGAAATTAGTTCTCCATAATTATTATAAACTGCGTGTAAACGCAATTTATGTATGGGGGAAAAAAAATTCCATCTCTTGCGCGTCCTCATAAAATTCAAAATCTCCACATTTTTCTAAAATAAATTTTTCTCTAAAATTATTCAATCCAATTTCATTCACAATAAAGTCACTTTTTTTTCTTTTCTTATTAATTTACACGAATTTTTCAAAATTAAAATTTTTAACTCCTACAAAATTATTTTTATATAATTTTTATAAATTATTTTTAAAATGTTTATAAATTATTTTTATTAATTTTAAATTTTTATTTCCAAGTCCTTGCGATTTTAAAACGAAACGCATAAAAAGAAAAGGAATCGAAATATACAAATTAGAATTGCGAAACTCTGAATGAAATGCTTATTAGAATATCTTTTGCCAATCACCGCATAAATACTCAATAATGACAATTAGTTAACGGCAAAAAAAAAAATAATACATAGTTTAAAAATTCTCTGTTGTCTTTGAATTTTCAAATAAACAAAAAGACATACAAGAAAATCTACTTTTCAAAATAATTACTTTTTTACAATTACTTCTTTATAATCATTTCTACAATTATTTTTATCAATTATTTCATTACAATTTTTTTTAACAATTATTTAATTACAATTTTTTTTAAATTATTGCTTTACAATTTTTTTTAACAATTAATTCTTTACAATTTTTTAACAATTATTTTTTTACCCTCTTTTAGACAATAAATTATTTTTTTAACGCCATTTTTAACAATTATTTTAACAAATCTTTTTTTCCCTTTTTATAACAATTATAATTTATAATTTATTTTAAAAATTATTTTAATGAAAATTTAAGCAGGGAATAAATTTACTCACATATTTCTTAAAGATGTTTCATTTTTCAAGAATTTTAATTGTAATTTAGTTTTAAGATTTTTTTGATTAAAGATTTAATTAATTGAATTAAAAATTAGTTAATTAAAGAAGAAAAAAAGCTAAAAGACAAAAAAACAATTATTAAAAAAAAGACAATTTTTTTTACATTAAAAAATTGAAATGTAATTTCGAATTGGAATATTCGAGAAAATAAATTAGTGAAAGGAACCAACAATAATTCTAACACACTAGCCTATTAATAACAATCCAAAAACGGAGCAAATGAAAATGGCAATTTAAATGCTACACACCTATAATCCAGAGATTTCAACTCAAAACACATGAATCTATTATTACCCACTTTATCACAAAACTATTATTAGTAAACCATTACTCAAATAAGTATCTCAATAATTTACCCACTTCACCCCATTAATAAAATTACTTCACTAAAATTTACTCCAGTTTTGCCATTTACAATTTCTCATTTCGCAAAAACAAATCCGTACTTAAAAAAAAATATATATTTATTTATTATGAAAACTAGAATTTTGCGTTTCATTTCAAAATTTGTTTTAAAATTTTTAAATGTCAAAATTTCTTTTCCATTCCTTTTTTATAAAATATTAATAGTGTTGGAAAATTTCACAAAAATTATTATGTGCCTCCATTTAGAGACGAAAAATAAAAAAAAGGAATGATTTCATCTCATTACAGATGTCGCAATTCGTTGAGAAAATCTATGACGCCTATCGAGATCTCATGGACAATAAAAGTGATCCAAGGGTCAATGACTGGTTCCTAATGAGCAGTCCACTGCCAACATTGATAATATGCCTCTCGTATTCGTATTTTGTCAAAAGATTGGGACCCAAATTTATGGAGAACAGAAAGCCTTTTGAATTGAGAAAAACAATGATCTACTATAATTTATTTCAAGTGATATTTTCGTCATGGCTATTTTATGAGGTAATATTAATATTAATATTATGATTAACTAATTATTTTTATTTCATTAATTTTATTCCTATTTTGTTTATTTATTATTTTATACTATATAGTGATATAATAATAATAGTAGTAATAATAATTGTAGTAATAATAATGGTAGTAATAAGAATAGTAGCAATAATAATTGTAGTAATAATAATGGTAGTAATAAGAATAGTAGCAATAATAATTGTAGTAATAATAATAATAGTAATAACAATAGTGATAGTAGCATAGTAATAGCAAAAGAATCAGTAACTAAATTACAATAAAAATATTAATAATACAACATAAAAATAATATTTCTGCTTTGCAGACTTTGTAAAAATTTATAAACATAAAACTAGCAGCAAGAAAAAAAAGGAGCAGTAATTAGAAAAAGCCATGAACTAGTATTGCAGTTTACTCTAGTATTTATAATTGTGCGCGAATTTACGTTCTCTTGTATTTAAAGTTGAGTTATATTTATAATCAGAGTTGTTGTGATTTGCATTATTACAGTCATTAGCCTCTGGTTGGGGAGGACAATATTCCTTGAAGTGTCAACCTGTCGATTACTCGAGGAGTCCCATGGCAATGAGAATGGCGAAAGGATGCTGGTGGTATTACTTTTCCAAGTTCACTGAATTCATGGACACGATATTTTTCGTTATGAGGAAGAAGTACGATCACATATCAACGCTACATGTTATTCATCATGGCTGTATGCCAATGTCCGTTTGGTTTGGCGTTAAATTTACTCCAGGTTGGTGTTTTCATTCAGATGATAATAAATTATTTTTTTTGTTTGGAATTTATTGCAGTTTTTTATTTAGTGCCTTTGTGTATTTACTGCATTTTAGTATTTACTGATTTTTAGTATTAACTTTGAATACTTTCCCCACAGTATCTAAACTTGCAGCAATATTGACAGCATTTCTTCAATATTTTGAAATTTGAAGCAGTATTGTCAATGTTGCTGTAAGTTTAGATGCTGTGAGAGTTTAGGTACAGATGCTACAACTAAAAACAAAATTAGTTTAACTATCACTAAGAAAACTGTTGGATGCTGGAAACAAAAATTTCGTTGTTCCTAAATTTTTGATAGAAAGAATCAAGAGTTTATTGAACCAATTTTATTTCTTTGTTTAATCGGTTTTTAATTTTAATCTTTGTTTTGTTCAGTGTAACAAAATTTTTGGTTTGCACCATAGATTAGAGCAGAGGAAAAAAAATGTTACTGGACACAATAATGATGATAAGATAATCATTTTTAGTAAGGAGTAATATCTACATTGTACGGAATAGCATAGTTAAATGTTTGTACCATCTTTGATGATGATTGTATCATTTATAATCCAGATCATACGGAATAGTATTACTAAATTTTTGTACCATCTTGGATGGTAGAATTTATTGAGTAATATCTTGATTCTAGAGAATAGCTTAACTAAATTTTTGTACCATTTTGGATAGCAGATTTAGAGAAGCAACATCTTGATAAATCGGAGCAGCATATCCAAAATTTTTGTACCAGTTTAGATGTTATTTTGTATCAGTTATAATTCAGTTAGTACGGAACAACATCTTCATTATACAGAATAGAAAAGCAAAATTTTTGTACCATATTTTAGATGATGGATTGTATCAAATACAATCCAAACAGTATGGAGTAAAATCTAGATTGTACGGAGTAGCATAACCAAATTTTTGTACCATCTTCGATTGTAGATTTTATGGAGTAACGTCTTGTTTGTACTGAATTTAACATAATCAAATTTTTGTACCATCTTGGGATGCAGATTTTGTGGGGTAACGTCTTGCTTGTACTAAATTTAGCATAATCTAACTTTTGTACCATCTTGGATGGTAGATTTTATGTAGTAACGTCTTGCTTGCACTACATTTTTCTACCATCTTAGATAGTAGATTTGCAGGAGTAAAATCATGATTGTACGGAATAGCACAATCAAAGTTTGTTTCTATTTTGGTTTGTGTATTGTACGAAGTAGCACAACCAAATTTTTGTAGATGGTACCAACTTAGATGGTAGTAACAATTCTGTATCAGTAACAATCCAGATTATTCGGAGTAACATCCAGTTGTACGGAATAGCAAAACAAAAATTTTGTACCATCTTAAGCACACTAACAACGTTATTACCATGTAGCATCTTCTTTCTCTAAATACAACAAATGAAACTAATCATTATCAAAAAGCAAATACCAGAAAAAACTCCAATTAGTAACCACAAAAGAACAACATATTACCAAGACTTTCAAACCTAACTACTAATTCTTTTTTCAGGTGGTCACAGTACATTCTTCGGACTTCTAAACACCTTCGTCCATATCATCATGTACAGCTACTATCTCCTAGCAGCACTGGGACCCAAAGTTCAACCCTATCTCTGGTGGAAAAAATACCTAACAGCACTGCAAATGATTCAATTTGTTCTCGTCATGATTCACGCCTTCCAATTATTATTCATCGATTGCAATTATCCAAAAGCATTTGTCTGGTGGATTGGAATGCACGCAATTATGTTCTATTTTCTCTTTAGAAATTTCTATCAAGAAACATACAAGAAGAGGGAGAGAAAATTGACACTAGCCGCAAGTAAAAAAGATAATTACGTGAAGGCAAATGGTACAAATGGAAATAATACAAATGGCGAAATTTATGTAAATCACTACAAAATGACAACGGGCTACATATCCGATAATGGAATGAGGAATCGTGTTTTCATTGACAAACAGGAAGTTGAACAATGAATAAATCTTTTTTTTAAAATCGCCATTTACAATTACGTACATATAATATAATTATAGAAAAAGACTCGTTCAAACATAATAGAGGGTACTTAATTTAAGAAACATTTATCATTCATTAGGCTGTGATAATGTCTTTGGACCGGAGGAAAGTCCAGAGCAGAATCATTGCGATCGAAAGGTCGAGTTTAGACTGATTCATCTCTGAGGACTTTTGAATATTTTTTTTGCGAGTGCACTCCAATTTTACATTATCATTTTTTTTTTGTTACTGTTAAAATTGGATTGAATATTTTTGGACTTTGGCAAAAAAAAATTGGTGATGAATTACTAATGATTATGAACAATTTTTCAAAAGAAGGTGTTCATTTGTGTGTGGTACTGTGCGTCGAATCTTCTTTTGTCTGATGATCAAATGAAGAAATTTATCATACTTATCATATTCATCATATTCAACATTACCAAATACTGAACATCGAATTAAATTCTTCATTAGTAATTATAATTGTAATTATAATTATAATTATATTCATAATTATAATCATAACTATTCTAGGTAATTTTTTTAGTATACGTAATTTTAATTTTTAAGTTCTTCACCCAACGAAATACATCTCAGGTCACTATTTAATTGTCATACATTATTTATCTAAGAAGAGAATTCTTTTCGTCAAAATCAATAGTTTTTTTTCTTGAAGAAAAATGTAGAAAAAATTCAAAAATTCTATTATGTATATAGAAACAAAATTTGACAAGAAACTTTAAAAAAAAATATTTTTTTTAAAACACAAATTTCCGTTATTAGAAAATCTTTCCGTCTCTCTATCATTCTTTTTTCTCTTCGATCTCACGTTAAAATATAAGTGTTTCACTAATTCATTCCATCAATTCGTTAGAAACGATTCACTTTGATTAAATATCCATATAAATATTTTTTCGGGTTTATTCGAAATATATATATATATATAGACATAAATTTCTCTATCATGGAGATAAGGATAATGTAGAAATAATATTTATTTTCACTTCGATTTTAAGGTTTAATGTGTATAATAAAATATTTGTTAATTTTGTAGCTTTTATATAAAGAAATGTCTAAAAAACAAAAATAATGACATGAATATAATTGTTAAGAAATTTTTTTTTCAAATTCGATTTTTTTATACATAAAAGTAAAAATTATTTTTGAATTTGTGAAAAATTTGTTTATAAATTATTGTAGATTAATAAGTTTTAAAGTATTTCGCATTTATAACGAAAATAGAAAAAGTTACAAAGTGTAAATAAATTTTTAAAATATAATTAATGGAAATAAATGAATATTGAAAAAAATAAAAACTGTTTTCTAAATTTTATATTTTACCTTTTCATTTTACTGTCATTTCAATATAATAATTTTTATACACCAAATAAACATAATGAACTTCAATTCAAACAAGTTTAAAATTCGAATTAAAAATACGAACAAGTTAAAAATTCGAATTAAAAATTCAAACAAGTTAATAGTAATTATTTTATAACTTATTAGACATTGAGTCAACTATTTTCGCTTAATTTATATTTTATGAAATTAAAGATAGAAATCTTCGACACCCACAGTCGATAAGTATTTTTCATTTACAATTTTCAACTAAAGAGAACGACACTATTTAAATACTATATTTAATTTATACTGGTAAAAGTGGTATCTATACTTTATCTATTTTTATTATCATATAATTTGTATATTATTTTTTTCAATCTATTATTAATAATTAATTTTTACTTTTTTTAAATTCTCACGATTTTTAGGAATACAAAACTAAACTATCTCTTTTTTCTAATTTTCAATTTCCTAACAAAAATCAAAATACGAATCTGATATTTTTTAGTATTTGAAATTCCCAATTTTAAAACAAATTATTAGGAAATAATTAATTATTATTAATTATTATACAAAAAATTGTCTTTTTTTTAACTTGGTATTATTTTATTCCCCATTTTAATATAACAAAAAATTCTTTTTAGTGTTTAATTATTAATTGAAACATTTAGTTTATAAAAAATTATGTTAGGAAAATACTTTTAAAAAAATAAAAAAAAATATATAAAAAAAAACTAAATTTAACAACTTTGAAAAATTTTATTGCATCACAATGCAGCAGTTTTTGTTTTCTAATTACAAATATTTACGTATCTTATTTGGAAATGATGCATAAGTAAAAAATTTATTTTCTTCATAATGAAAATGGTAAATTCGAATCAGTTAATTTTTTTAAATAAATGAAAAAAATTCAAACAAGTTAAAAATAATATTTTTAATAGTAATATTTATTAATATTAATTATTTAAAAATTAATTAATGAATTAAATAAAAAATATTATTAGTAGTACCTATCAATAATTAATATGGTGTTAAATAAATAAATAAATAAATATTAATTCTATAAAAATAATAATTATAAAATAATAATAATTTTTGTCAACAATATTTTTATATCATCATTAAAAATAGTTTAATGCAATCACCTTACATGAGATTTCCGCAAACACACTTGAATCATTAAGCATATATTTAAATTTCACACATCAACTAAAAACATTTAAAGAATTTAATGGAATTTACCTACAAAGAATCAAAGTTCTTTCATCATAATAACTTTAAACATATTAATTCTATAATACGTCATTTATTTTAAAATATTTTTTAATTTTTCTATTTTTTTTTCCCAAAACTTTGAACTATGATTCAATTTTTCATTTCAAAATTCTAATCTGTCATAATATTTGACTTTTTTTGTTCCTATATTATATCTTATGAAATGTAATGTAAATTAAATTCCAGTAAAATGAAAAAAATATTAATTAACAAAAAAAAAATAATATGGAAGACAATAAAAAAAATTGAGGAGAAAAATATATAACTACAACGAAAAATAAAAATAAATAAATTATTAATATTAATAAATAAATTAATTAATTAACACCTTTTAAACAAACAATTTCTAATCATTAATTATTTATTTATTATTTATATAAATTATTAAAAAAATTAATAGACAATTTTTAATATTTTGAACATTAATGTCAAATTGGATTTAATTATAAAATTTAATTTTTGCTTTTGATAAAATTTACCAACAGAAAACAAAAAGAATAAAATAAATTGAACCAGAAATAATATTGATGTAACGTAGAAAGTGTTTCTGATTAACAGCATTAATTTAAATCAATAGATATTACATTAGATTTATACTCATTGTGCAATAGAAATAAATTAATAAGTGTAACAAAAATATCTTTTTTATTGTTATTATTTATTATTCATTATCACTATTTATTATTAGTATTTATTAACAATAAATCATTACTTTCGTATTTGTCAAATGCAAATATTTTTTGTCTTCGAAAAAAAATACCTTTGTAAAGAATCGAACCCTGGCCATCCCAACAGCAAGCCAGGAACTTTAACCATTAGACCACGTAGCTTTTTTTTAATAGAAAAATAATATTTATTATTAATATTATTTATTATGATTTATTTTTAATTATTATATTTTTATTATTATTTATTATTTTTAATTATTATATTTTTATTATCATTTATTATTTTTAATTATTATATTTTTATTATCATTTATTATTTTTAATTATTATATTTTTATTATTATAAATAAATTGTTTTTCTTCAATTCAATATATTTATTTCATAAAAGATATTTGAAGAGAAAAAATTGTGTAGGAAAAAAATATTTTTTGAACCAACGAAAGAATTAAACTTGCACAAATATCAATCAAACATTTTGTCTTTAAAATCAAAATATTTTTCTCTCCTTGCTACATAATTCTTAATTTCGACAGAGTGAATAAGTAAAAAAAACACGATTTGAATTATTCTGAATTATAATTTATCTTATATATATTCAGGAATGTGAACACAAATACAAATAGTGGTCAATAAAAATGAAATTCATTAAAAATTGAAAACACAGTTTAAATTTAAGGTGGGAGGTAAATCCCGAAAGGAAATTGAACTTTATAACTATATACCCGGATGTTACCTTGAAATTTCATTCATCTTTCGAAAAATAGAACTTTAACCCTTACATCAATCAATAATATATGAATAATACATTCATCCAATCAAAATATATTTAACAATCAAACATTATTTTCCACATTAAATGAGCCTGGGGAAAAAATATTTATTTATTGTGTAAAAAATATCAACGTTTTTAAAAAAATTCCCAACTGAAAAGTTAGAAGCATAAACTGAATAGTAATAAAAAAAAACATAAAAATTGTAAATAAAAATTTATTTTTCGATATATTAAAATTTTTATCGCAACTTTTTTTCAAACTTTATTCTGATAACTGTCAAGGTGATTTGAAAAAAAGGAAAAGAAAAAAAATTTTTGTATTTTGTGGACCATTTTAGAAAAAATTGTCCCAAATATACGATTGAACTGATATTTCCCTTTCTCGTGAATTTGAAATAATTGAAGCGAATATTTGAACAATGGTGAAAATCTTTTGTCGTCATATAAATTTTTGTGTTAAAATCTGAATAATTTTGATTTCGACACAGCCATATGAATTTATCGAAATATTCAACATATTTTCAACATATATAGTTCACTCCTCTTCTAATAATACAAAACCAGCTTTCATCTCGAACGAAATATTTATCGTACGATTGAACACGCAAATATTCATTTATTTAATAGAGGAGATATAAAATAAATAAATCTTCTTTTCATATAAATCTATCTCAAATGATGTGATAAAATTTAATTATTATATATAGAAATCAGAAAAAAAGGGGTCTCACTATATTTTTCTAAAGTTGAAAATTTAAATACAATATTATATAACCATTAAACATAATAATTACACATTATTTTCTCAAATAAATATATGTAGGAAAATAATTAATTGTGTAAAGGAAAGGAATTTTAGTTAAATGATGAAAGAAAAAAAAAATTCAAAATACAAATTTTTCAATGGCTTACACAATGCAATTTTATGTCTTCGTTACAGAAATAGAATTAATCGTATATATAAAACCTATATAAAAGAAACACTTCCAAAT